CAAGCCGGGCCACAGACTTGGGCTTTAATGCTGAATTGGGGTCCACTATGGGAGGATTGGTGCAAAGATGCAGCTCTGCCCTTCTAGTTGCAGAGTAGGAGGGGCAGGAGGGGAAGCAGGGGACCTGGGAGGGGCCGCTGCCTCCTTCCACGAGCTGGAGAGACTCAGGGGAGGGGTGAGAGGCAATGCTGGTGGAGGGGTCGGCTGAGCCTGGGTGGAGGCGGAGGGTGTCACATTGGCAGAGTTTGGGCCAAAGCAATTGGAGGAATGGGGTTGCTTACGGCTGAGACTAAATCCTGCAGCGGTGAGATGGGAGAGCTATGCTGGGGAGGACGCCAGGAGTTTGCTTTGGACCGGTTACATCTGAGCAGCCTTTTCAAACTCTAAGGGAGGTGTCAGGTCAGGGTTTGGAAGTGGGAGTCGAGTCTGGAGCTCAGAGCTTGAGGCTGCTTGAGGTCCCCAGGGGAGGCTGTGGGACAGAGGGGAGGGCCACATACCAAGCCCCAGGCCTCCAGAAGGAGCAGCGGCGAGGTGGCAGGGGAACAGGGAGTGGAGAAAAGGAGCCTGATCCGGCTGAGACAGAGGATGCCATGAGCCCAACTGGAGGGGCACATTCGGAACATCGGGGCAACACTTCACCCCAAACCTGCTTGGTGAAATGGAGCCACCCATGGGACCAAGCTCAGCCCAGCACTTAGAGGCCACACCCCAAAACAACCAGAGTTTCTCCAATCCAAGACAGGGTGGGGGAGGAGAAGGGGTTGGGATTGAATCTCGGAGTCTAGGCAAGAGCTGTCTGTGCTGAGCCAGGTCCTGCCCAAAGCCCGCGTGAAATCGGCCCCTCCTCCTGCAGGAGAGGCATCCGCATGTCGCTGTGGCAAAGGCCAGGTGACTGCAGGCGCGGTTAGCATGCGTGCCGCTGAGCGAGAAAACACGTGGCTGGTGGCAATTTTCAGGTGCCCTGACAGAGACAGCTCTGGCTTCAAAGGGATCAAAATGTGGGGAGATCACATCTCAGACCTGATGAGATAAGGTCCTGTGCAGACTGAGGCAGCATCTTGGACCTCACCTGCTGTGTTGGATCCTGATGAGCCTGATTCCGGGAAGGCCTCCAAGATTTCCAGTGGATCTATCGTTCCCTGTGTAGAGCAGGTACTTGCCGTCAATCCTACCCTTAGGGCACAAAGCCTGGATGCTATCTGCCTCAGGTTTCCGCACATCCCTTCTAAACCAACCTCCCCTGTGGCAGATAAGCCCTGGGCCTGGGGGTGCTGGCGGGATCCCGTCCGTCTGGGCCTCCAGAGACACAGATGTGGCTTCCATTTGTAAATCCCTACGAAATGTTTCTTCCTGAGAAACTGGACTTGTGAGCCCCTTTCTTCTGCCTCTCAGCCTCCTCCATCTTTGGGGCAGGTTTGCACAAGCCTGCCCATCGTGGAACAGGTATTGATATTCCTGTTTTTTTGTTTGTTCCCCAAGTGCTTCAATGGGGACCCTGGGGACTTAATCACCTTCCAAAAGCCCCATCTCTTTTTTTTTTTTTTTTTTGAGACAGAGTCTCGCTCTGTCGCCCAGGCTGGAGTGCAGTGGCCTGATCTCAGCTCACTGCAAGCTCCGCCTCCCAGGTTCACACCATTCTCCTGCCTCAGCCTCCCGAGTCGCTGGGACGACAGGCGCCTGCCACCACGCCTGGCTAGTTTTTTTTGTATTTTAGTAGAGACGGGGTTTCACCGTGTTCGCCAGGATGGTCTCGATCTCCTGACCTCGTGATCCGCCCACCTCGGCCTCCCAAAGTGCTGGGATTACAGGCGTGAGTCACCGTGACCGGCCTGATATTCCTGTTTTACAGAGGGGGAAACTGAGGCTCAGAGGGCTGACTACTGTGTGAGGTGAAGGACACATGGCATGTATGTGACAGAGAGGAGAGTCTCAGGCCCACGTGCCTCCCGGAACCCACGAGGGCCCACTCCAACGCTTGTGTTGCAGACAAAGGCAGAACCCCAGCTCTGAGCCGCCTCCCTTTCCACCTGGGGAGAGCGGAGATGAGGCCCGATGGATTTCAATGGCCCTGGCTCCAGGACTGGTCCTGCCATCCACATCTCCCCCTTTAGCAGGAGTTTGGCATGGAGGGCTCAGCTGCTTACGACCACCACCCATTTTGGGAAAACTTCTGAGGAGGAATTGTGCACACCTGTGCCAGCCCCTGCGTACTGGCTACGTGCCAGGAACAGTGCCCGGGGAACAATTCTCCATGTCTTCACTAGGGCACCATGAGGAGGTGGGTGGCCACCCTCCCGGGACTGTGGACACGGAGGCACGTCTGAGGGCAGGGGCTCCCTGCCAGACCCCTAGGGAGAGGTGGAGCAGGGCCCAGGCAGCCTCAGAGCCCGAGCTGGCTCCCAGTACCAGTGTGGCCGGTGCTGCATCAGCTACAGACTGATGGACATGGTGAGTGGCGGGCAGGGGAAGGGTGGCAGGGAGCCCCAGGGCAGCGCCAGGGGGTGTGTGTGATCCCATCCTCCACTCCCAGCTTTTGATGCTGCCATGAGGTGGGTGGACGGGACAAGGCGCCATGGGATGGCTGTGGGACCTGCCAACACTCTTCCAGGACCCCAAAGCTGCCTGGGGAGCCGCGAAAAGGACGGCTTCTGAGCCTGGCTTTGCTGGGCATGAACGGGCCAGGCTCGACCCTGGGGACAGAGAAAATGACCCGCAGGGACCCTGCTCCGCCTGGGCAGTGAGCGAGTTCTGCCAGTCCCCTGGGTGCCAGGAGGCTATGCTTCCCAGGAGTGTGTGCAGCCGCCCCCTTTCATAAAGGGCCCCCCTGGCCTTCATGTGTGTTTTATGAGGGTGGCCGTGATGGCCACGCAGGGCAGGGAATCAAAAGGACTCGTAAAGTTTGTCTGATGATTTGGGACTGGGAGTGCCGCAGACACGTTCATGGGCATTTTATGCAGGAGGGAAGCTGAAAGAGACAGATCACGGGAAAATTAAACGTAGGGTTTAACTGAGAAATAATCATTTTCTATGAAAGATAATGACTTCTCTGGAGGCCAGTATCAAGATTTATTGGCCCAAGCGGTGACGACAGATCAGAGCCCAGACAAGAACAGCAGGAGACCTTGAAGGGGAGGAACCTTGGATTACCATCTCGCCCGGTCGATATATCTGAATGCCAAAGCCCTCTGCTCTGTATGTGTTGGGAGATTAAATGTATTTACACCTCTGGTGGAGTGGCTTTTTCTCCTGCAGTCAGAGTAACCTGATAGCTCCAGCCCCCTCCAGCGCTGCTGTCCTTGGAAGCCCTGGCCCGGGTTTGCCTTCGTTTCTCACGACCAGCCCCATTCAAGGGCACCCTGCCACCGGCACCTGCTGGGCTCCCAGGGAAAGTCACTGTGGTTCCAGCTGTGAGTGCAGCCACCACTGCATCACACCGCACCGTCAGCACCAACCGTGTGGCGGCGAGCCGGGAAGCCATCGGATTCGCCGCAAATCTGCGGGGCTTCAGTGGGGGAGATTTATTGCCGTGCCAGATGCGTGTGTGTGAAATACATAATTCCTCTCCCACGGCCTCATAAATCCAAAAGGGTCAGCAATAAATGGAAAAAAATTAAAAATCACAGACTAATTTGTTCGGAAGACTAGAAGGGGATCTGTGAGAAAGCTGTAGCTCAGCTCAAAGTTTGTTCTGAAACTGAGAGCACGGCGCAGGAATACATTCCCCACTGGATCCAAACCTCTGCGTTCTCAGGTGGGCTGGGCAGGAGCCGGCGCAAAATCAGATGCCCTTCCCACGCACATGCTGAGTGGGGGTCCTGACACAGGCCGGCCATCCTAATGGCACCTGGGGCTGAGCAGCCGCCCTGGGGCTGGAGAAGGCAGGCTGGGCCCAGCTGCTGCCCAGCAAGGGGTGTCTGGAGAGGGGCTCTTACCTCACGGAAGGGGGCCCAAAAGGGTTCTCAGGGGCCTGGGGTCTCTCACCAGAGCTATGGGGTAGAGGTCCCTGGCAGCTCCGTGTGTCCTGCGACCTGGCGCCTTAGGGCTTTGCCAGGCCAGCTTTGTGACGTCTCCCACCGGACTGCAGGCATAAAGTCTGGAGTGTGGTCCTCTCTCAACGTGGAGGAGGCCTGAGGCCCTGGACAGGAGAAGCCACATCCTGGAGGGATCAGTGCTGGGACACAGAGGTCCCTGAGGCCAACACACTGCCCATCAACTCCCCATTCAAGGAGAGACCCTCAAATTCAAAAGGGTCCCGGAGAAATTACAGGGGTCCCAGCGAATGCTCTGGAAGCAAAGAAAAGTCCATGACACCAGGAGAAATCGGATGCCCCGGCCTTCCAGGCACAGCGAGTCCCAAACATGCTCCAAAAGAGATCTTGGGCCACCGACTCCCAGAGGACAAGCCCCCGGCTGTGCGGGCTGCAGGGGAAATGACCTTGGGCCGTTGAGCTGCGGCTTCCTCTGGTCTGTGCAGCTCAGGTGAGAGACGCCCATGCCCAGTCCCCCCAGCTGCACGTCATCTGCTGGCCGTGTGGGCGGGGTAGGGGGTGGCGGGGGGAGGCACCTCCAAAGTCAAAGCAGGCAAATGCCCCCGACTGTCTTCTAAGCAGAGCTCAGGGGTGTGAGTCAGCACCAGCCGGGCCCACCCCAGCTCCTCTTTACCCCAAATGTTCTCTCTTCCGCTCTCGGCCTTCGCTGATCCCCATGACCCCTGTCCTGACATAGGCGCTGCTCCACCCCTGTCCTCGCTCCTGTTCTTGATGACTCTGACTGTTCTTGCCTTTGGGCTGCAACGCCTTTTCTTGGACGCCTCTTCATGGCTTTGATGCGAAGGAGTGCGTGTGCAGTCTGGACCCAGCTTCAGGCGACCGTCCCGCACAGCCGGCCACCCAGGCGGTCCACCCTGGGAAAGTCCAGGCCTCTAGGTTGTTACTCCCACGTGTGCATGTGTGTGCCACACACAGCTCACAATGACATCGCGGATGCCTGTGTATCTTTGTAGTTCCAGAAAACACTCCCTAGGGGCCGCACCTGGGGGCCAGTGTGGAGAGAGCTGCTAAGGAGTCATGCAGGACCCTCCTGGTGAGCCGCGTGGAGACAAGGTCCACTGCCTGGTCTCGCTCCGCACCTGGGAGATGCGCACAACGGCCTGAGTCTGTCTCCAGGAGCAGCTCTCTGCCCAGTGAGCCCTCGGGCCCGGGTGGGTCCTCTACCTGGCAGCTCAGGCCTCCCTCGATGTCCTCGCCGGCATGCTCCAGGGACCCACACCTTCCACGGGTGGCCAAGGGTACTTGGCCTGGGGGAGAGGCTGCCGGGGCTGCTTCCCAGGGACGTGGAGGTGTGGCTGCCTGTGGGGGTGTGGCTGCCTTCCTGCTCTTACCCAGTATTTCTTTGGGGTCTCGGCCCCTGGTGGGGGTCTTGGCCAAGCAGGCTTGGCTGCCCAGGGGCCCCGCTGCAGATGAAGCAGTGTCTAGGAGCTCATCCAGACCCACCAAGAGCTGCCCCGACCCTCCCTGGCTCTCTGCACACCCAGAGCTCTGTGCTCCTTCCCAGGGCTCTCCCCCACGGCCCAAGACCTCCTCAAAGGCCACATCAGCCCAGAACCCTGTGCCCAAAGCAGGAGCCCAGTCCCCCGATGAACTGCCAATCGTCACGTCCGCGTCACCAGCTGCCAACAGCCCTGACAGACCTTCCCTGGCCACAGAGGCCACTCTGGATGGAGCTGGGGGCTGCACTGATGGCCCTGGGAGCCCTCCAGGGACACTGCCTGACCCCTCATACGACGGGCGCCCTGGCCAGCTGACAGGTTCAGGCCACTGGCTGCCTCCAGTCTCATCCTCTGCTATAGAACTGCATCTACCCAACTGGTCCTCAAGGCTTCCACCCGGTCCAGCCACCCCTGGGCAGAGCCCCGACTCCTGGGTTCCCGCGGACCCCTGGGGCCCAGGAAACAGCCCCTCCAGCAGACTCTCCTCAGACAAGGAGGACAAATCCTGGGTGGTGATGGCGGTGTCCTCCCTGAGGGGCCCCGAGGGCGGGGAAGGGAAGGCATCTGAGCATGGGTTGGTGTCTTCGCCATCACTCTGTGCCTGGGGAGTGGGAGGAGGTGGGGGTAGGGGGTCCTCCCTGTGGATGGAGGACGGGAGGTCGGCACTGCTGTAAGACAGCAACTCGTCCACGGGAGACAGGATCTCAGTCAAGACATCACCGGCAAGTGGGGGACAGGCTTCCTCCAGGACAGTGGGGGCTCCATTCCCACCGGGCCCAGGCACCCAGCTCTCAGCTACTGGGAGTGCCAGCCTGCCCAGGTCCCCGGGAGGAGCCTGCACGGTCACCGGGGTCTCGGGCTCTGGCATGAGGTACGGGAGTTTGCTCTTGGTGGACAGACTCGAGTCAGCATCCCGAGTTCCCTCCTGGTAGCCCAAAGTCTCTCGTCCTTTGCCGAAATCTGCTCCTTCACCCCCAGAGGTCCCCAGAGGAAAGGCCGGCAGCGAGTCCGAGTCACTGGCAGAAGAGATTTGGGGTGGGAACACCACACCGGCAGCCTCCGGGGGTGCCCGGCATGCTTCTCCTGTGTCTGTCAGCCCCGTCAGGCTCTTGCTGGTCCCAGAAACTTCCTGCCCCTCCCCAGGCCGTGGGGAGGGAAGAGCCACCTGGGTCTCCACACCACTTTCAAGGCCGGATGAGCCACCTGCAGGCAGGGAGCTCCCCGAGGCTGGCTCGGCCCCGGTGCAGGGTTCTGGCAAGTCCTTCTCGCTGTCCTCGTCCCAGACTTCGCTGGAGGCCTCTGACAGCTCTGACCCTGACCTAGGAGAAGGGACGTCTGGGAAAGGCAGCAGCCAGCCTGCCTTCGGGCTCTGCTCCGGTGCTGAACCTTCTGCCACAGCCGTGTCCAAGGAGGAGCCACACAGGGGGCTGGCCCCACTGCCCTGGGGCCTCTGCCAGGTGACCCGTCCTCCACCCCCAGGAACACTGCCTGGCCGAGGCTCACCCTGGTTTGGCCCCCAGGACAAAGGCAGGCCAGCTTCCTCTGAGGAGTGCCGGGCAGAGAGCTCTCCAGGCCAGGCGAAACCGTTGTCTGGGGAATCTTCAGCTTCCAAGCCGGGAAGAGAGCTGGAGCTCTCAGAAAGTTGGACCAGGGTAGCCGCTGCTTTCTGGAACTCCCAGAGAGAGGGACAGGACAGGCTGGTCACAGAGCCTGCTGGGGAGGTGTGGGATGACACCATGGCTTCTTCCAAAGGCTCCCAGCAGGTTTCGGAAGCAGACTCAGAGCCTGGACCGCAGGAGGGGGTGGCGGGGAGAAGGGGACTGCCCTGGTGCAGGATCGGGAGCGCCACCTCCTCAGGAGCCACAGGAGCTGCTGAGAGAGGGGACAATCAACACTTGTCACCCTCTGCACTCTGGACCCCATGCATATCCCACGGCCCCCAAAGCCAGGAGGTCAGAACAGAGAAACACCCTGAACAGAGGCAGGAAAAGCGTCGAGGGTGCCAGCGTGTCAGACCCCTGTGATTCCATCCCAGCGGTTCACCACGCCCACCCCCACCCACACCCAGTGAGTCATGTCCAGGGACCTTGCCGAGCCTTGGGGACCCAGCCTCATAGCACCGCAGCCGTGGTTCAAGGACTGACTGGTTGGCTTTGCCTTTTTTATTTTCATTTGGGATGTGGGTGGATCCAGAGGATCCCTGACCGTCATTCACCTCCCCCGGCAACCCTGTGATGGGGAGGTGCGTGGGCAGAGCCCTCCAGCTGGGCAGTGGGGAAGGCAGGGGCTGTGTGTTGTGGGGAGAAGCTGGCTCTGACGTAGAAACAGCCTTGGGGGACCCTTAGTGGGGACTCGATGGCTGAGGGAGGGGCTGGGGGCTGGGGCATCACCTGGGGAGGCAGCAGCCCGGGCAGTTTCCAGCCAGGTGGAGGAGACGCCGGGGACCTCCTGCAGGCAGGCCTCCATCCTGCAAGCACATTCGTGGAGAACCTTGTGGGGATCCTGGTCCTCCTGGCCTCTTCCCCAGGGCCCACTGTCAGGGACCCCACTGGGCTCAGTCCACAGCCTACACCTGAAAAACATCCCAGCTAGTCCTCTGCCACCACCTGAGGTGACCCTGAGGGCAAGGGCTCCCCAGTGGCTTGTCTTAGGAGGCATCTAGTCTCAGTCCCACTGGATCAGGTGGCCGAGAGGGGTGGGGCTGCCACTCCCAGGGGGTTCGAGGCCCCTCTGCTGACCTTGAGCTGATTCATGGGTGACATCTTTATTTCCAAAAGTGGGTCAGACCCCGGAGGGCTCAGGGTGGGTGCACAGCTGTACCCCAGCAACACAGCTGTGCCAGGAGAGAGTGAGGGTCTCCACAGCAGGGGGACAGGCAGTGCTGGCTGAACCCGTCTCCGTGCCTCAGGCTCCACCCCTGCCCCAGGTCCTGCCTGCTCCGGGGAGCCCAGCCCCACACCTCTGCTCCCCTGATCGCCAGCTCTCGGTTTCCTGGGACTCCTCCACGGGACTCTCGGCAAAATCCAGCCCCAATTCTGAGCCCTCTTCGCTCGTGCTGCCCTCAGTCACCTGCTGGAGACACATTGGAGAAATGACACTGTCAGAGTGTGGCCTCTGTCTCTGTCTACCTCCTGTAGCTGGATGGAGCCCCTGTGTTTCCAGCGACCATGGTTAAGGAACAAAGACCACCCAAAAGATGGCTGTGGAGACCCCCACTCATCAGATTCCCCTCCTCCCATTGGGCCCTGCCGCCATGGAAAAAAAGTCTGTTTTTCTGCCCAGGTGTTGAGTGTTAGGGTGAGACCCAGAGAACTGGCAAACTTCAGAACTGAAGGCATCTGCCGGGAAGGGCCCCGGGGCACTCATGGGATGGACCAGGAGACCCCGCAGGGCCACACAGCAAGGCCGGGCCCCACTCAGCCCACAGGAAGTGCACGGCCACACCCGACTCACGCTGGCTTCCTGTGGGCCACAAGGACCTTCTCTGCCCCAGGAGGGTTGGCTGCGTTCCCCGAAGCTCCTCACGTGGTTGTCTGTCGGAGCCCGGGGCTTCCCCGCTAAGGAAGGGCCGGGCTTGGTCTGAGGGTCTCCTGAAGGGCAAAGGGACTGTCAGCGCTGGCGGGGACAGATGCAGGAAGCAGAAGGAGCAGCTCCCAGGAATTCCGAAGTCACATAAAACAAATCTTAAAATTCAAAGTGACGCACACCTTTCTGCAGTGCTTGGTTAGTAATGAGGGCGGAAACGTACATGGTAGTTTGCTCCTAAAATGATCCTGTTATTGGACAGTCAGTGATCGAAGTCCCAGCCAAGAGTTTAGAGAAAATTT